CTATCTATCTATCTATCTATCTATCTATCTATCTATCTATCTATCTATCTATCTATCTATCTATCTATCTATCTATCTATGATCCTGCATTCCTCCCCTTCCCCCTTCCCATTGCAAAAGGAAAAACAGTCCTCTTCTCACAAGAGTTTGAGGGACACATAGATATATAGCTCTGCAGGAGAATGTGGGGTAATCCCATGCTGGAGAATATGGAGATTCCCTGTTCCCAATTTCAATTGAACAACCTGACTCCTTAAGAGGCTGGGCGCTTTTGCTTTCAGTTTTATTTTTCCTGGAGACATTCAGAACGAAGGCATTCAAAATACAAACTTCATGACCCCACAGGTATGCAGGTAATAAAACAACCCAAGTCTGGGGGTATATTTATTTTGGGTTTATACACATTGTTATGTAGAAAGTGCCTGGTTTAAATTTAAATTTAAGTTAAACATAAATTGCAAGGCTATAGTCTGGTCATGCTGACTGGTGAAATTTTTGACTGATTGGTGAGACGTTCTAAAATTTTTCAAGCTCTGCCTATATATGTGTAAAATTCTGCTCACTCTTCATCAGTGGTTTCCAAACTTGAATCTCTGGATGTTCCTGGACTGTAGTTCCATTAAATCCCAGCTAGCATGGTCAGTAATTTGGGATTCTGGGAGTTGTAGTCCAACACCATCTGTGGTTCCAAGAGTGGGAACAATTGTTCTAGGTCAGTAATCCACAACCTTGGGCCTCCAGATGTTCTTGGACTACAACTTCCAGAAGCCTTCACCACCACCTCTGCTGGCCAGGATTTCTGGGAGTTGAAGTTCAAGAACATCTGGAGCCCCAAGGTTGGAGACCACTGTTCTAGGTAATCAGTGGAAGATCATGCTGTTTATAAGTTTCTGTTTTTGCTCACTTCATTACATTACTGAAAAAGAAATACTAGACAGCCTTACAAGGAAATATTTTATAGCTGTTAAGGAGAAACGTTTAGCTGCTTTGCTAACTAATACTTGACTTTCTTGACTTTATCATTTTAATTTGTCAAATGGCATTTTGCCTACTTTTGGTTGGTAAAATCATTGTCCTAGGGTCCTCCCAGCACGCATACCCCAATTTAAAACAAAGTATAAAAGCTGAGGGACACTTTCATCATGGTTTGTGGGTCCTCAGGACCCCTGTCCACTATACTGATTTTTTTTTTAAGTCTACTTTTTCTATAAAAAGAAAGAAATATGGGGCAGTGGGTTTGGGGCATTGACTGCCAGTCTTAAAGGTCCAGGGGTGTGTGTGTAGTATCCCTGCAGTTCTTAGGTAAAGGTAAAGGTTCCCCTTGCCTATTTGTCCAGTCATGACTGACTCTGGTGGGGGGTGCTCATCCCCATTTTCAAGCCATAGAGCCAGTGTTTGTCCGTAGACTGTTTCCGTGCTCACGTGGCCAGAGCGACTAGTCACGGAACGCTGTTACCTTCTCACTTTAGTGCTACCTATTTATCTACTCGCATTTTTACATGCTTTCAAACTGCTAGATTGGCAGAGTGGGACACGCGATGGGAGCTCACTCCATAACATGGATTCAAACTGCTGATCTTATGACCTTGCTGCCCAGAGGTTTTGCAGTTTAACCCGCAGTACCAACACGTCCCTCTGCAGTTCTTTTTTTAAAAAAAACATTTTATTGGTTTTTCAATCTATCTACATTGGTCTGTGCTTGCCAAACATCGTGTTACATGCTTTGCTTACAATTATTTGTTTTTTACATCTCAGTGTCTTCTCGGTTGTCCCCCCAGATTCCAAACATCTTTCAAACATTCAAACCATTCATGTACATATTTTAGTATATAATATGGCTACTATCATAATATTACTCTCATATTGTACAATATTCTCAAGGTCTTTTAATAACATTCTTATTGAAAGTGGTTCCAGATCCATGACCCAGCTTTATATCTAGTTTAGTTTACCTAAAATGAAAAACCACCATATTACATCTTTACCTGATTAGGGCTCCCTTATTTCAATTTAATTATCCTTTTTAATATAAAGGATATACCCTTTTGCAATTCCCGATGTTAAATATATACATGTTTTTCAATATTAAGGGGCCCCTTCTTGTTTTCCCCTTTTTCATCTTTCTAAGTAATTCCGTCTCTGATTTCTCTTTTTTCACTTTGTATTTCTGTGTCTCTAAGCATTCTGCCATCTTTCATGTCCTCTGAAACCATTTTGTACATCTGATTTATGTCCACTAACTCTTTATGTACTTGGTCTATCTACAATGGATCTTCCAGGCTTTTTTTTTTGGGGTTAATTTTGCTGATTTTGTCCCTTTGTCTTCCCTTATTACTCTCCTCTGATCCAAGACTGACGTTTCTCTTAGGTTAATTTCCTTCAGCTCCTGTTTTGATTGGCATACATCATCTGGAACACTCTCATTTCCTTCTTCGTTGTTCCCTGTCGCTTGCTGACTATAATTCTTCAGATATTGATTGAATAATTTTGCCTCTTGATAATGGGATCTAATTATTTCTAGTATTGTTTGAAATGTAGATTTTGTTTCATCCCAAAATTGTCCTTGTTGTGCCATTCTGTTCCAGCTGCCCAGGTGCTTAAGCCAAGATTCGAAGTCCCCAAGTCTCACAGTCCAAATCGATGATTGTATCTGTATCCTAATTGATCCCTGCCAAATTGATGCTGGCTAAACATATATTCCAAGTTTCCAGAGTCATTTCAAGAAGTCTGCTTTGGCTAAATAGGCCTGAACCAAATATGAACCCCCAAAGTACCAGGGTAGAATGCAATGTTTGTATCCGCGGCCTGATGGCCTAATTCCACAGGTTTACGAATTCCCAAGGCACAGTTTTTTAAAGGTCCACTTTAGGGTTAATTTATCCAGCCAGGCATTAAAAAAAATCGAAAAGAAATAAACAGATTTCCAAGCTTTAAGCAACAGTGGAGTACTCAAGGTCACTTTTCCTGGGCTTTATGCCAAAAGACTTCAAGTAGCCAAAACAAAGTCCAGATTTATCAAGTATAACTTAAGAGAAAGTTTCTTAAGCTTTATAATGCCAAATTAAAATATTCTTGAAGTATATTTTAGATGTATTTGAATGGATAGTTAATGTTCCATTAATCTTTAAATTATTTTCTTTCCATCAGCTATCCCTCTCTCCAGATCTTTTGCCGCTTTATAATTACTGAGATTGATAGCAGGTTCTTTTTTCTGTGTATAGGAATTGTCTTCTCCAGGGGTAATCATAAGCAATTAGTTGTAAAAATATATCTCACCCGATAGTAACATTGATGCCAGATGCTGATCGTTGATTCTCTGGCCGGCTGCTGATGACTTTCAAGCAAGCTACACTGCTTGTTTCTGCCCGTTGGCTGATTAGGGAGTTTCCTGGATCGAACGGGGGTGACCGCCGTTCCCCCCCCCCGTGATGAACAGGCTTCCCACCCGGTTCACCACCTCTCCGGGGTGGTTCCGACACCCTGAGGTGTCCCAAACAGGTCAGAATTCAGCCCAGGGGACAGAGCTCTGTCCTCCTGCTGCTGTCTCGTCGCGACGTCAAGCCAGAAGTCCCCTCTGCAGTTCTTAACTGCCCTAAATCATGGGATTTTGCATAAGAAAGTTGTCATATGCAGATTAATAGAATATAACTTCAATATAACTTGGACTGTATAGTTTATTTAACTTGCACAGTTTATTTTTTCTGCTAAGAGATACTGACGGAAACATCTAATGTTTTGTATAGTTGGCACTGGCTGGATTGTATGAAGATGAAATGAAGAGACAACCACCTCATTCTGAAAAAGCAGCAGCTAGAGTAGCCAGTCATCCAAGATTACCAGTGCAAAGGTAAACAAGGTATTTTTATTAATTCTGTGTCAGACTATACAGAATAATATTAATGATGACAGTTCCTGTAAATGAGGATCTCGGGTATGCCAGTGCAGAGATCTATCTTTTTATATTCGTGAAGTTGTAGTCACATCTATGCTTGTATGGAAGCATATTCCATTAAAGAGAGTGGGATTTATTTCTGAGTAAACATACATAAGTCACATCTGTGCTTTCATGGAAGCATATTCCATTAAAGAGAGTGGGATTTATTTCAGAGTAAACATACGTGAAGTTGTACTGTAATGATTGTTTTTCATTACGAAGCTGTGAAGGAGAATTGAAGGGAAATAACATTGTTTAGACCATTAGAATATTTTTTGGAATATTGTCCAGAAAGTTTTCCATTTCTACCTTTTCCAGAAAACTCACATCCCAAACTATAGCATATTCTAGTTTAGATTGTACTGAAGCTGAGATATCACAAATCACTTTGTAGTATAACTCAATGTAATGTTCATGGAAGAATAAAATAATTTAAATATTAAGTATGTATTTGTTGGTTGACTTCTTCAGGAGCTTGAAAAAAACCGAAAGAAGTATGAGTGATGATAAAGATAACCAAAGGTACTGTAAATAGCCCTTATCCCCTATAATTGTCAGAAATTGTATTTCAGTTTTTCACTTTCCTTTTCCTAAACTCTTTCCTTAAGCAAACCATTTACTGTAGTTGCAGATGTCACCATAATACTTATGCTTCATTTACATAGGAATTAAGTGTTGGTTTCTTTTGCTAGAAAGAACATAATGTGTTGAACAGTCCTTGTTTTACTTTCTTCTTCTGAATGTTCAGCCTCTATAATTTGCATTTCAGGTTGGAAGTTAGTTTAAGGCAGGATATTTTCAGAAAAACCAGTTCCCTTTATTCAGTGGCCCAAATTTTATTGCTTAGCATTGCAGATAGCACTGAAGTAGGCCTAGTGAATCTTTGGGAATTTGGTGTGTCAATTCCTCTGTAGGTTCAATTGATTCAAATTGGCTTACTCCAGCTGCAAACTGCATTTAGAGTAGGCCCATTTGAATCAATGGAAGTTAACAGATTTTACAAAAATCTCATTGATTCAGGGGGTCTACTCTAGCGTTATTTACTGTGCTAGGCAACAAAATATTGGCCATTACAGTGGTGCCGCATATAACGAGCGATTCGTTTAACGATGAATCCGCATAGCGATTGAGTTTTTGCGATCGCAAAAGCGATCACATAATGATGTTTTAGATGGTAAAACAGGGTAAGCGTTTTGCTTACCGATTTTCGCATAGCGATGTTTAAAAACAGCTGATTGGCAGTTCCAAAATGGCCGCTGGGTGAAGAAAATGGCTGCCTGGTGTGTTTTCGCGCCCTTTCCTCGCTTACTGGGCAGCGAAAATGGCAGCTGCATGGAGGATTTCCGCAGAACAGTGAGTTTTTTTGCCCATAGGAATGCATTAAACGTGTTTTGATGCGTTCCTATGGGCTTTTTTGCCCCGCATAGCGACGAATCCATATAGCGCCGATTTTTTTGGAAAGGATTATAGTCGCTATGCGGGGCACCACTGTATTTTGTTTTGGTATTTGTTTATTAATGACTGTGTCAAAATCATGTCCCCACATCAGTTACGTTTTACAGCCTGATAATGGCAGATGCTTCTAGGACTGATTTCTGCAGTCTTCCCATTTATAACAGTTTGTTCTCACTCCAGAAGCTTTCTGCACCTGTCTCATTACTGTTGTTGCAGTAGCTCTGCCAACCAGCAAAACTTTGAGAGAGTACGTGGGGCCTTTAAAAAAACACAAAAAAACAAAAAAAACCCAAGGAGCTATAGAATTCAGAACTTGAAAGGAGTACAGCAAGCTGTAATGCTGAATGGCCTGCAGCAGAACAATGAGATCCTATGGAAGTTGGAAAGGGCAGTCTCTCCTTCCGACTGTACTTTTCTCCCTATATATCCAGAAATCTGCTCAAGCAGGAAGGGAAACCTTTGGAGCTGTTCTTAAATCTGAGGGCTGCAGCGAAAGAAGTTCTACCATGTTGGTGCTGTAGTGCCACTCTTAAATTTAGGACTCCATTTGGAGTTTCTTATTGCAAAATTCCTTTCTTTCAATGTTGTAACAATATTTTAAGTGCAGTGGAGTTCATTAATGGTTTTGCTTTTCTTTAAAAAGATTTTACTCAGGTGATTCAGATTACAGAATTGTTGGACCATCTAAAAACATAACTCCCAGCAAAATTGTTGATGAGCTTTTCAAAGAAGCAAGAGAACATGGGGCAGTCCCTTTAGATGAAGTACCAAGAGCCTCTGGAGATTGTCATAAAGCTAAAGTGCGTACATGCAATTATTTTCTTAGGAAAAAATATTTCAGTATGAAATGCTTAATTTTTAGAAGTTTAGTACTTGATTATTAGTAACAATTGCATGTAAATATTTTTGTTCTAAAACGTGCTGAATGTAGGAAGCAGAAGGCTGAAGTATATGAATTGGCAGCACTTACAGATGCTAGTATCCTGTTATTGGGTGGAAAGGGTCAAGTGTTTGAAAGAGGTCTGGCTCTAATATTCTTCTCTTGATGCAATGCAGGATCACTACAGCCTAGTATGAAATCAGAGGTTACCTCCTGCCTCTATAGCAGGGATAGGCAAAGTATAGCTCTTTCAATGTTAATTCAGCTACAAGAGGAGTGAGGAATATGTGACACATCATTTCTCGCTGTCAACTATAATGACTAGGCCTAATGAGAGATGTCATACAGCAACACTGGGAGAGCAGCACTTTACTCTATACTTAATTCACAGATTAGAAATTATATAAAGCAGGGATTAGACTTTAATAACTGCACTGAAATGTCAGTAGATATAATGAAATTTGTAATGTCATACATAAAGTTTATAATTATTTAATTTTAGATGAATTTATATCCAGTTTTGCTTTGTAAGACAAAGTTGTATTTTAAATTTTTTTTATTAGTCATTTTCTGGTGGTGGATACAGATTAGGAGATTCAACTTGGAAGCGCTCAGAATATATATATGAAGACAATCAGTATGGGCAAGATGTAAGTAAAATTAATGTGAACATTGTTTCCAATTCTGTACACTTGATGCTTGACTGCATAAAAGTTGTTTCATCATCATCATCACCTTTATTGGCATAAAAATGTACAGCAAATAGTAGCCCTCAAATAAATGGGAGATAAATACCCTGTATGAAACAAATCAAAAAGCCTCAATGCAGAGAATAGCAGTGCATACTGTATTTTTCGTTCCATAAGATGCACCTGACCATAAGACACACCTAATTTTTACATAGGTCCTTTACTTGGATATACTCAGATCTTCAGATCTGCCCTCCGCAATTCAAATCACCTGCTCCTGATGAGTCCATAAAAACTGTGGTTAACTAATAAACCAAATAAAACCGGTAGCCCTAGTGGTGATAAATTTAAGGAAAAGAGCGTTAGGTCGCTGGTTTCTCTTTTGAACTTTATTCTGCATCTACTCAGTGCCTTTTTAGTCATTCTATGCTTCAGAATGAAATTTGGCTAAAAATACACATTAGCCTCCCCCCCCCCTTCCAGGTCCCTTAATGTTTTAAATATCTACAAAATTACTTCTATTTAGGCTTAATTCATGGGGAAGCGATGCAGCTTCCTGCCAAGCTCTGAACTACAGACAGCTATTCTAGCCGCCTTTCCCCCATCCAGCAGGCTCTCAGTTGTAACGTAATCTTCCCCTCGCCAATCTCAGGCCTATTAAACTTACTGGTAATTGGTTTCAGAAGCTTTTGTTCTTCCCCCATGGTGCTCTCCTCTCTCTCTCTGCGTCCTCCGGCGTCTGGCTGGTCACATGATCTGGCTGTCCAGTAAGCAGCGCTGGTCCTACAGAGCTGCTACGGATGCCCTGTAGTACAAGCGCTACTAATGAGTACAGAGCCCAGCCGCGTATGACAGCGACATGGGCTTTGGGGAATTGCACCAGTTTTACAGTATTCGCTCCATAAGACACAGACACTTACCCAACACACACACTTTTTTGGGGGGGGGGAGTGCATCTTATGGAGCGAAAAATATGGTAGTTTCAAGGTAACACCCAGCCATTGTTTATAATCTGTAACTTATACAGAAAGGAATAATTAATTGTATACAATAAGATTAGAGAGATGGGTTTGTTAAAAATTGAGTTCTATGCTGCTGAATTAATGAACTAATAAATTTGGCCTTCTGTCTGGTGTAGGTTTTATGCACACCTAGCAGAAGATTGTACAAGATTGCCTCCTCTGCCTGTCCACTAAAACTAACAAGGATTGATTCCAACTTTGAAAAGCAAACGTCATTGTACATTGCACAGTAGAAAACCATGTGCTTCAGGAACTCTGTGGACCCAGAGTAACAAGGGCAGACCATGTTTCCAGAGTTTGCAAATTAAATGTGCCACATAAGACATTAGATGGAAATACATTACATCTGGCTACAGTGAAGGGTCACCTTTCATATGGGCTCTCTATGAGATGTAAATAACAGGCCGATTTATTGCTCTATAATGGCAATTGTAGATTTAAAGGTGCATACTTTGCACACTGCCGCAAAGATTTCTTGCCGATTGATATCCAAGGGTCTCTCTTTGAGCAGTCTATAAGAGTGAGCAAAAGTTAGAGCACTCAGGTGGTCTAGGGAGATACCCATGGTTTGTGCCTTTTATATGAACAGTTTTAAACTGGGAGAATGTAAAGAATCAGACACCCCTAAATAAGGGCTCATCTGTGGCCACAAAGCATTTTGCTGCCTCTGGCTGCCCCACCCCGTCCTCAACACCAGCCACCTAGCTCAAAGGGAAAAGGGGCTTTATAAGCCAGAACCTGTGCCGGGCCCTGCTCGGACCAACATTTGGGGAGTGTTCATCATCTGCTGTCTCTCAGGTACTGAGTGAGAGACAGTGTGGCGGTGCTGCTGCCGGGTGCAAGCCTTCCTTGGAGAATTTGGCTTGGATTACTGAGACCTGGGTGGGAGAGGAGGGTGGTGTTCCCTTCTCCCAGCTGTGTCCATCTGGGTTTCTCAACGGGTTTGGTTTTCTCAATGGGATTGGAAGATGGTGGTTTGGATGTGGAGGGGATGGTTGTGACCCCGTTGTCATGGTCAGACCACTTCCTGGTCAAGTTTAGTCTATTAGCTTCTTCTCCCCTCTGCAAGGGTGAGGGATCTATTAAGATGATCCTCCTTCAGAGACTAATGGATCTGCATGGTTTCCTGAATGCTCTGGGGGATTATCCATCTGCTGGATGAAACGGATTTTCTGGATCCATTTCAATCAGGTTTCAGGCCGGGTTTTGGTACAGAGACTGCCTTGGTTGCCCTGTACAATGACCTTTGCTAGGAGAGAGACAGGGGGAGTGTGACCCTGTTGATACTCATGGACCTCTCAGTGACTTTCGACGCCATTGATCATGGTGTCCTTCTGGATAAACTGGCTGGGTTGGAAGTTGGGGGCACTGCTTTATGGTGGTTCTGCTCCTTCCTGGCTGACCATGTCCAGAGCGTGGTGCTGGGGGACAGTTGCTCTGTCCCATAGCGTTTATGTCATGAAGTTCTTCAGGGCTTGATACTGTCCCTCATGCTGTTTAACATCTACATGGAACCACTGGGAGAAGTCATCAGTGGGTGCTTCACCGGACAGGCTGGAGGGCCATTTCCCTGCCTTGAATGGGGTTGCACTCCTCCTAACGGACAGGTCCAAGCCTGGGGGTGCTCCTGGGCCCCAGTCTAACTCTGAAAGCCCAGGTGGACTCGGTGGCCAGGGGCACCTTCCTTCAGCTGTGGAAATTATACCAGCTAGGGCCGTATCTGGACAAGCAGATTCTCATGACAGTTACACATGCAGTGGTAACATCTCGTATAGATTACTGCAATTTGCTCTACGTGGGACTGCCTTTGAAAACAGTCCAGCAACTGCAACAGGTCCAGAATCAAGCTGCGCAGCTGGTGAGTGGTGGGGCCACTAGGGGACAAATAAAGCTACCAGTTGCTGTCTGGGCCCAGTTCAGTGTTTGTTTTGACATAAAGCCTTAACAGCTTGGGCCCTGGATACCTGAAGGACCGCCTACTTCCGTATAAACCTACCCAGCAATTAAGATCTAGACAAAGGACCTTTTTGGCAGCTGACCCCAGACTATGGAACACCATCCGAATTGAGATTCATCTGGCGCCGACACTGATGACATTTTGGCGCCAGGTTAAAACCTTCCTGTTCCAGAAGGCTTTTAATTGAAATAATATCAACTGTGGGTCATGATGGCAATTTTTAGAGTATATATTTTTATTGTATTTTAATTGTTTTATCCTTTTTACTGTAGTTAAATCGTTGTAAGTTACCCAGAAACCTTTGGGTAGTGTGGGTGGTATATAAGTTAAATAAATAAATAAATAAATATTCTCAGCCAGCATTTAAAGGGTTTCAGCCATGCTTGTGTCCCCAGTCTGATGAAGCCTGCCTCGAGGCATAGAGCTTCATATGGCACAAAATGGGGCACAGCAAATGTGTTATAGAGAAAATTAATTAAGCAGGGTCAGGCCTAGTTAGTACCTGGTTAAGAGATAACCAGGGAATCTACGAGATTTCCAGGTATGATTAGGAAAGAATCTTGCCTGAAATGGGCAGCTGCTGACATTCAGAAGTGACAACACTGAACTAGGTAGACTAATGATGTGATTTATTATAAGACAGATTCCTGTAAATTTCTAAATGCCAGGTGAAATCAGCTTTGCATCTCCTCTTTGTTTCTCATGCAGGAAGATCTGCCTAACCAAAAATGTCTTCACAATACAGTAGAAGATGGGCTGTAGAGAGAGCATATTCATTCAGCGATCAGAAATGGCTGGGATTCACTTTTCTGCTCACAGCCATCATTTGCAGGCACTGGCTGAATTATGTTTCTTCACCAATTTCTTTCTGAATCTAATCTGGTTTTCTGTATAATAATTTCTGTGTACAAATTGAACAGATAACCATTCTGTCTCTCCATATTCTATCTTAAGGGTAGCTTCTTGTCTGCAATAAGTTACACATTGGGACAATCAAGTGCTGAAACACACCCATTTTTCCCTCCTGGAACAACTCATAGTTTCTCATGATCCACACAGTTAAAAGCTTCACTGTTGTAGACTGATCTTTTTCTGAAGTTATTTAGTGTGCTCTAGTAGCTAGCAAATATTTGCAATATGATCTCAAATGCCTCTTCCTTTTCAGAATACAGCTTGAACATAAGGTATGTTTCATTCTATATCAGGAATCAGTTGAGTTTAGTAATGCAAATATGTTCCTGGTGTGGACTTTAAATTTATCAGGAATGTTTTTTTTAAATTATAACTTGGCACTGCAATTCTTTTAGTGGGTTTTTTCTCTCTTCAGGTTTATTCTAATGTTGGATGTTAAAAATTCATGATCAGTACCACAATATGTTCCTGGATTTATTTTGGCAGAAATAACACAGCTTTTCCATCTCTTGCTTCCATTATGCTGTCTTTGATTTCTATATTGGCCACCTAGTGATGTCAACATGTACAACAATCTGTTAGGTTCCTTGAAGCATGTATTTGCAATAAACAGATTGTTGGCTTCAGAGAACTCTGTGTCTTGTTCTCCTGATTTTTCTGTCCCATAGACCAACATTTTCAACAACATTTGATTCTGCTTTTGTTTCCTACTTTTGCTTTCCAGTCACCTATCATTATAAGAATGCCTTGTTTGGTGTATGATTAATTTCCTCTTCAATGCTTACACAAAAGCTTTCAGTTTCATCTTCTTCGGCATCAGTAGTCCTGCCATGGACTTGAATTATTATTATATTGATTGGTTTTCCTTGGATTATAGCCCCTAACTGCCTGTGCTACATCTTGCCTCAGTGTTAGAGCCACTGCATTTTTTCTGGAATTGTCATTTCTAGAGTAGGGCATTTTGTATTTCTCTGACTGAAATTGTTTTATTCCAGCCCACTTTAGTTCACTTACGTCAAGTACTGCAATGTTTATCTATTCCGATTCTTGCTTCATGGTTTCTATTCTACCTTGATTCGTACTTGGTTGCATTCCATGTTCCATATGTTTGTGTTGGCAGCATCAAACGTTCCATTTACTTGTGTACATGCCAGCAATCAGACATTGTTTTAGCTTTAATGTAGTTGCATCACCAATGACAGAGCCATTTGTACCTGTCCTATGCTCTTCCCCACTAGCTGATTGAGTGCTTTCTGACTTGGTGTCTCAACTGTGACTGTTCTACCTTGGGTGACGCTGCTAGGAATCTAGGCTTATCATGGAGTCTGGCCTCCGGACAGCATTGCTCTAAGCTTCACTGGCACACTCAAACCCCTTCACTCTGTTAAGGTGTATCTAAAGAGATATTTCATTTTAGATAGGTATATTTTACTTTATAGTTTGCAATTGCTTGTGTTTAGCTGTTTGTAGTACTGTTCATATTGTAGTTTTGTTGTAAACTACTGTAGAAAGAAAGGACATGCATATTTCTATAAATAAAAATGTTAAAATAGGCTATTCACAATTTTTCTATGTTTACTGTCATGAGCAAGTAAAAAGATCCGAATCTAATGATGTCTGGCCATAGCTGCTTATCATATTGCCCTTAGTCTTTGCAAGCCATCCCATTCAGAAAGGTATTTTTCCTCATCTGCAGCCACTCTGTGGTCATGGAGGCACTGACACATGCAGTCTTGCACTAGCAACTATCATCCATTTCTTTTATTTGCAATTATGTATGATTATTCACATACAACAGCATATGCATGGCCCTCCAGATGTAATTGAATCGCAGTTCCTGCCAGCTTGATCCAGTGTAGCCAGTGATGTGCAGTCATGGGAGTTGCAATGCAGCAGCATCTAGAGGGATATATCTTCTCTTGCCAGTCATTGACTACATTGGTTCCTTTTAGCTAGAGATCTCTGCTGGCTTCCAAAGTGGAACTATTATATTTTTTGATGACATTCAGTTGGTACAGATTCTCTTTACTGAATGTATTCTAGTATTAGAAAACATACTGTGATGAATATAATGATTAGTCAAAACTTCTGTTTTTTTGCTTTCTGACAAATATTTTCATAATGCATCTGATTTATTTGGTAGGTGCAAATATTACTTAAACTTTGGAGAAATGGTTTCAGCTTAGATGATGGAGAACTGAGGCCATACACAGATCCAGCAAATGCTCAGTTTCTGGAGTCTGTTAAAAGAGGGTAAGTTTATAACATTGTGATTACAAAATCACATATTAATTTGATACATTTGTTACGTATTTGTTTGATTCATACCCCAGCCTTTTCTCAGCAGGGGACCCAAGACGGAATAGAAAGACTCCTTTAAAACAATTAAATATACATATTGTTACAGAGTTCCCTTTAAGACTATTTAAAAACACATTAAAAAACAATAAAAGATTCTGAATTAAAACCCCTTCCTTACTTATTAAAAGCCTTCCCAAAAAGAAAATCTGCTGGTGGTAGGACAGCAAGGAGGGATAGCTTGGATTCCTGTGGGAGTGAGTTCCACAGCTTGGGAACAGCCACCAGAAAGGCCACCTCTTGTTTCTGCACAAAATGTGCTTATGAAGAAGATGGGACCAAAGGAAAGGCCTCCCCAAATCATCTTAAAACCCAGAGAAGCTATTATGAAGAGATACAGTTCCCCAGATATTCTGAAACCAGTTTGTTTCAGGGCTACTGTTCTCTGATTTGTTCTCCGAATGAGCCAGATGAAGAATCTGGAGGTTGTTAATTGATAAAGGCTGTACTGTAGTGTTGGAAGGGGCCTCTTAAGCAATGGAACATGCTTCTGCAATCAGTTGGTATCCAAAACAAATAATCTAGCCCAAAAGTATGGTAGATAATTACTGGATAATTCTTTATGTGCTGGAATTAACATGCAAGTAAACATGTTTATAAAACTGCACATGCAATTTTCTGAAATAAAGCTTTATTTTACAGAAAATTAAGATGTATCACTTATACCCAGGTACAAAAGGGAGACATTTATGTCACAAGGAAATATTAGAGTCATAATACTAAATAAGTTCTATAGTACCTTATTTTAAAAAGTATTATTCTTTTAATTTCATGTCTGTGGTTTCAACATACTGTATGGCTAGGAGTTGAAATGTCAATTATTTTTCCACTTTCTTCCTCCTCTTTCCATCCCAAGACTTTCCCTGTGGTATTTGTAATATTTAATGATGAAACAAGCCACTTTCTCTGTAGTCTGGAATGTTTGTAAAGATGTAGAGAATTGAAGCATCATTGATCCCACATAATTTACTCCAGTTATTCATAATGCACGTCTACAAATAAATGTTGATAGGAAATTGATCAGTCTATGCTCTAAAGACTCCAGCAAAGCCTGATTTATGAGAAAGTATGGATTAGTCATGAAAGAAATAGGTGCACCTCAGCACTCAAGTGTCCTGATGGCCAATCAGTATTGTGCAATATTGTTTCTCTATCTCTTGCTTCCAATTAAGAAACTGTATTGTGGGCAAGAAGCTACCATTTAGTTAAAATATAGAGAGACAGAATCTTATAGGCACAGGCGTCAGACAAGGGTGCATTTTATCCCTTTATCTGTTCAGTCTGTACACAGAGCATATCATATGGAAAACCAGACTAGATTGAGAAGGAGCATGCATATTGGTGGAAAAAAACACGTCAATGGGTTGAAATGTTGAAATGACATTTAATGAAATTTTAAAAAGTGTCAAAGCAGGACTCCAGTCGAACATGAAAACAAAAACCATGACTACAGAAGAACTATGCAACTTTAATTTTGACAGTGCAGAAATAGAAACAGAAATAGAAATTTTATAAACCTTGTTTCAGTCATCTGTTCAAAGGGATACTGCAGCCAAGAAATCAAAATAACACAGAAACTTGGAAGGGCAGCAGTGAAGGAATTAGAAAAACACCATCAAGTGTAAGGATGTGTCACTAGAGACTAAGACCAAGATCATCCATATCCTTCTATTTCTGATCACCATGCATGGGCATGAAAGCTGGACAGTAAAGAAAACTGATCAAATATATATTGGTCAGTATATTGGTCATATATATATATGTGTGCGTCAATTCATTGGTGCTGGAGTAGAGTTTTTCGGATACCCTGGACTGCCAGAAAGACAAACAAATGGATTCTACATCAAATCAAGCACGAACTGTCTCTGGTGGCAAAAATGTTGAAACTGAGGCTTTGGGCACATCATGAGAAGGCAAGATTCTTTGGAAAAGACAGTAATGCTAGGAAAGGTTGAAGGCAGGAAGAAAATCAAATACAAGATGGATTATCTCCCTGAAGGAATCACAGGTTTAAATTTGCAAGAGCTGAACAGGGCTGTTGAGGATAATATATTTTGGAGATTTCTCATTCCTAGGATCTCCATATGTTGGGGGTGACTTGAGAGCGCATCACAACTAACTAAGTAACTAACCAAATAAATAAATAAATAAATATTGTATCCCCTCAGTTTGCATATTGAAACTATTGAGCTTATATATTGAGGACATGATCCAATCAAATGTGAACATTTCTTTGTTCCTTCCCTGTTCAGCTTGTAACACTGGCTTTTTAAAAAATAAATAAATTTGTTTGTTTGTTTGTTTGTTTGTTTATTTATTTATTTATTTATTTATTTATTTATTTATTTATTTATTTATTTATTTATTTATTTATTTATTTAGGTCAGCCATGCGCAAGCACTGTTTCTATTATTCAGAGAGATTCCTGCAGAACTCCAAAGATTGGTACACGGAGGTCACATTAATTTGGACATGGAAGACCACCAGGAGCAGGAATATGTAAGGCCTAGATTGAAATTCAAAGCATTCAGTGGAGAAGGACAGAAACTTGGAAGGTTAATTTTTAAAAACTCCTTGCTTTTAAAAACAGTTTTGTAGTGCTGTCATTTTTTCCAATTAAAGGTAAAATTTAGATTAACGTAATTACGTCATAGAATAACAATACAAATTTCTGTTGTTAATGCACCATCTGTACTATATACGTAGTAAATTATACTAGTAGTCAATTATGTATAGGCCATCTGTACTACTCGTAGTAAATTCTTCTTAACTCTCGCACAATAAATTTCTAGTTCCGGTCCTTTAATTTAATATGAGGTTTTGAGATGGTGACATTATAAAAGCCTGGATTCTGAATAGATCTAAATCAGGGGTCAGGGAACTTTTTTACCTTTTACCCCCCCCAAAAAAAAATTTATATATGTCAACATTACCCTGCCCGTCCACTCTTGCCATCTGCAGCCGCCACCCCCACCCCCCGCCGCCTCTGCGCTTGCCTGAGACCTGCTGCCACCACCTGGGCAGCCAGTCTGGAGCCACCACGCTGCCGGGAAGGCATGTCCTTGGCGAGGGGAGGTGGGCACTGTAGGGCTGACAGGTTCATCGGCCATGAGCTCAGGTGAGGCAGGTTGGGAAGGGGGTCTCCTCGCCTGTGCACTGGGCGGGCGGACCCGGGCAGGAAGGAGAGCACTGGTCAGGGCTCCACTGGGCAAAGAGTCCAGCTGGTCAGGGCTGCACTGGGCAAAGAGTCCAGCTGGTCTGGTCCGCGGCCCTCCCCCCCCCCACTTTGGGGGTGAGGAGGGCAGGTGCGTGCCCTGTGCAGTTCCTCACCACGGCTCACTCTCCCCATGACGAAGTGCCCACCTACACACAGCATTGTTGGAAATGAAATGCCTGGGGGTAATGAGGATGGTCCAGGAGTTTAGTGTAGCTGTAATGGGGGTGGCGGGCAGTGTGCCTCCCTGCTCACCTCCAAATGTTACTAACTGAGACAAGAATCCATACTCTTTCTAAAAACACTGGTTGAAATCTTGTATAACTCTGGATCATAAAGGCTGACGATACTATCAGCTGTAGATGTTAATCTATAATTAAAAGTTTCTTATCTTACCCACCCACCTGACAGTTTCCCTGGCTCCCTTTTGATCTATCAAAGCCTTTGGGAGCCTTGGGACAGTGTAGATAGTCTTTGATATCTGAAAATTACCACCATTAAATACAAAACAATGATGGTGATTTACAGACATTTTTGGATGTGACAGAGTTCTTTTTCAGCAGACTTCTCCAGGTCAAAAGGGATCTCTAAGGTGCTTAGATGGAAATGACAGGGAATGGCAAACTTTAAGTTAAAGTTTAACATTCGTGACTGATAATGTGATCAGCTTTATGCCCCCGAAGTTGCACAAAGAGGATTTCAGCCACTATGTAATGACATTACTTATAACATTTTCCTTTTGGGGGTAATATGGTTATTGTGACACTGTTTGTTAAATGAGGTAGTGACTCGAAAGGTCACTTTTGTCTGTCTGTGTCTCTACTGTATTTGTCTCTGTGTACTCTTTTCTCATTACTCCCAATGGGGAGGTCATTTTGGGCTATTTTTCTTTAAAGATGGTTGTTCATGGAAAACAACATTTCATTTTGTCCATGTGTGCAGAGAAATAGATATAGTATAATGGCCTTTTGGTTGCACTTTCAGTGTCCTCTCATTATTTCAATTATATTTTTCTTTCCTTTAGCCTTACTCCTGAGATTGTCAGTACGCCTTCTTCCCCAGAAGAAGAGGAGAAATCTTTTCTTGATGGTCCTGTTGTGATAGATGACTCTATACCAACAACTAAAATTCAAATTAGGCTAGCAGATGGAAGTCGCTTAATACAAAGATTTAATCAAACACACAGGTAAGCTCAATTGTTTAAGTCACATATCCCATGTGAATTACATGATCCACAGGATTTTGATTTAAGATTATTATAGCGTCTTGTCACTTCAGGTCAAATCAGTTCAGAGCTGGCTGGATAACTCAGTGCATTAGGTAGCTGACTGCAGAGCAAGAGGTTGGCTGTTCATTTTACTAGTGTGCCTTCAGGAGAAGAACTATGGGCTGAATAGTCCCAGGACACCTCCAGAAGAAAGGAGTGGCAAACTACTTCTGAGTATTCTCTACCTAGAAAACCCTGGAAAGGACTGCTATAAGTCAACTTGATGGCATGCAATTATTAAAAGTCAGTTCAGTCTTTTTACAAAGTGCTCTTAAAAAAGTGTATTCCTGTTATCCAAAGATTGGCAAACAAATCCTTATGTTCTTGTCAACAGGATAATAGATATTCGAAACTTTATTATCTGGTCTCGTCCTTGGCTTGCCACTACTGACTTTGTTCTGCTGACTACATTCCCACATAAAGAGCTTACAGATGAAAGCTTAACTCTGCAAGAATCAGATATACTGAATACTGTGATTCTTCAGCAACTGAAGTAGACTTTGAGCCTATCAGTTGGTGAATGGATGATAATCTGTATTATTGTACAACAGTGTTTCCAAGAAGAAAGGAGCAAAAGAAAGCAAGTTTCTGGCTCAAGCAGTTCTGCTGGGTTTTAATATAGTTCTGTCTTCCAATGATAACCTTGTTAATGATAATTCAGAAAGACTTGTTAACATTGATTTTATATCCTTCTAAAGCTAAGTGTTAAACATGATGTGAATTCAAGTACTTTTATTGGGAAGGGGGAGAACTATTAAACTTAGATAATTTATAGGGGGATAAAAACCATTTTTGGATACAGAAACATTCTTTTTCTGCAGACTTGCAGGAGTTGAACTATGGAAGAATTTTAGGCTGCATCAGCTAAAAGCTGTTAAGATTCTTCATTTATCAGTTATGTCAATTGTGTGAATTAATATTGCATTGATATCTTCCATATACTCAGCATGCTTTTGACATATTCTGTAATGCTGTGCTAGTGAGATGTTTGGTTAATTCTATCATTCTTTTTTAAAATCTCAATTATAATAACAATATTTTAAATGAGAAACTGGTTTCTAAATAGATATAAATATTATGATCCCAATTCTGTTTTAATATCTGTGAGTTTTGTGTTACAAAATATGAATAAACCTTAGTTTCATGACAGAAGAAAAGCAGATCATTTTTTTAAAAAATGAAATGTTAGTTTTAAGTAAGAGATTTATGATTGTGTTAAAGTAAAGGTTTAATTCAAAGTTAATTACCGTATTTTTTGCAGCATAAGACGCACTTTTTTCCCACAAAACAGGGGGGTGGAAAATCTGTGTGTCTTATGGAGCGAAGAAAACAGATTATATTTTCCTGTTTTCTTCTCCTAAAAAATTGGTGTGTCTTATGGAAAGGTGCGTCTTAGTGTTAAAGTAAAGGTTTACTTCAAAGTTAGTTACTACATCCTTTTAAATACTGAAACCTAGCCATTGGCTATGGATAAAATGTTGTAATATGCTCTTGGTGTATTTCTTTCAATGGAGGCACTCAGTTTGCACACATAGTGACCCAAATCCAGTGTAACATGAGCAGAGGAAAGCAGTGTGCTTATAGAGTTCCTTGCTTGACACTCATACATTCTTCTGATTTTTGCGGCTTAACAAACAGTTGCACAATACTTTTTGTAGACTACATACCATAAAAATTGCATTAGATGCCCCCTTTTCACATAGTTGGAGACAGTTCATATTAATTGCATATGAATTTGCTTCCTTCATTGTAGTGACTGCAAAACCTTGGGCATGAAGTAGCCCTGTGTGTGTTAACTGGAAAACAGTGGATGGAGGAGTTGGCTTGTGCCCAGATGCAACATTAGTAGAATACCCTTTATTTCCTAGGTAAAGCAGAACTGTTGAATTATTTCCCATAAGCAGAACTCATGAATTGGCAAATGAGAATTGGTGATAACAATTCTGGAATCTGTTGTCCAGAATCTTTCAGTGTAAGATTTGTATAAGGTTTGATGTGGCTAATTGTAGGTGATTGATTAAGTGTTAGAGATGCATCTTAGTTACATAGTCTGGCACATAACCAGGAATGTGACTGAGACACACCCAGGCACTTCATCAATTATCTGTGATAATTTACACTAACCATTCATGAATGTCAATATTCTGGCTGCTGGGATTTAAGAAAACTTTTAGTGATGTTTCAGTTTGTGGCTCATGCTTGTGCTATCATCCAATATAATAATGATGATCTAAAATCATTGAGGGCTTAAAATGTGACTGTGGAAAGGGGTATACAACATAAGCTCTATGCCACAAGGAGGCCAAATATACCTCCATGTGTTAATCAGGAAGAATGTTTACAAAGCTGCCTCTAAGTATGTGCCCCTAGTGAAAATGCCTACAGGCTTCTTTGTGGACCTTCATGCTAAACATATAACATCTGTTTGGCATTTGTGTATGGTGGGGTTATGTACATTCCTCCACAGTTAGAGCCTTCCATGAGTTCTGTGTTAAGGCCTGAATATGGTTGTGTTGTTTGTAGAAATCAGCTTGGAATTTCTGTAGGGACCCATGCAGGACTACACAAACTTTTTTCCAATGGCAAAGGCCACATAGACACAAGGTTTTTGCAGCCTCTTAAAAGCTCTCTGTTAAATGGCAAGGGGCCCAAACAGGTAATAACCCCCAGAAAAAGAAATGACAGGAAAGTGATACCCAGTAAGTAATGGTTCCCTATTAAGGCAAGCCAAAGTGTGAGGACTCCTAAATATATGCACAGACAGCCATGTAACCATTTCTATGCACATGCCCTATATCCAGGAAATTGACATCATAAAGTTGTATGTCGTTGTCTCTGCTTAACTACATGTGCTGTTCACATTATATTTTCTGGTTATTGTTTGTGAATATTTGGCCAGTGTGTTGATTACAGAGTAACATAACCAATGTAATTTAATTTTGAGTTTCTGAACAGTTGCCTACCTTTAAATCCTGCTGCTGAGATTCCCTGTTATTTAAAAATGGTAAGGAATTGCTTTTACACTATAGTTGATTGTGGTATTTTCAAGGTGAAAACTGTGGTATCTTCAAGGTGAAGATTAGGAAAGAAATTGTGTTCAGAGAGAACTGAACATCCTTTAGGAATATGGAGAAAACCTGACTGCACATTTTTCTGAATATGGATATTGCTGTCATCAGTTTCATTTTAGGTTCCTGCTTTGAATCTGACACATGTACATTCTTCAAAGTTATCAACATTGTTTTTAATACTTTGAAAGATTTATTTTAATTCAAATGAGTATGTTATAAGTCTGTGCATGATTTATCCCAATCACAAATGTTCATTGTGCCATAGTCAATAAATGACATATTTTAATTAAATCTTCCCTAGGCATTTATATACTGTATAACCCATGTGTTACTAGATAAAACAAGTTGGAAATGTCTTACTAGGTAACACGAGTTGGAAAAGACAAAATGTGTCTTGGTGGCCATTCACAAAAAGCATTTTACATTCATTTTGAACATAAAAGATTACATCTGTAGGCAAATAGTTGTGAATACAGCCCATCTCTTGATGTGGGTAGGAAACCTATTCACACAGGAACCTTTCTCACACACTGTAGTATACATGAGACAGACACATACAAACAGGACAGGATCTTATTAGTTGAATTCTTGTACGCATTTAAGGAAAAAAACTCATTGCATTTGATTTCTGAATAAAGAAAAATAAGTTGAAACTGCATGGTTTAGTACTTAAAAGAGTGCTTTTACATCACCACTGTGATTCACTTGGAAGAGGGGCCAGTTGAGATCATGTGGATTGTGCGGGTTGGTTAGGTTAGATGGCATGCCACCTGCAAAACCTTGGACAAGCTGCATGGTCCTAGAGAGCCATCTGAAGGAGGAATGGTTAACCACTTCTGAATATTTTACATTTAGTAAAATCTGGGAGGGTTGTAGGTGAGAAATCACTTGATGACACATTATTATTATAATTCTTATGGTCAAGGTATCTGTTTTATAAAGGGAATGTGTGATGTACTTACTTTCTTGATTTGGTGATTGTTAATTATGTACCCTGAGCTAAGCGTGGAGGGATCCAAAGTGTCTGTTAATCTTAGATTTGAATTTTAAGTAAAGCTGGGTCCACTAACTCACAACAGAAAAGATGGATTCAATTCAAGCAGTCTATTTTATCTTGCATTTAGATTATGGACTTAATAAACTAAAAGTTGTCATCCAACATGAAAGCTCTTTCACCCTTTGAAACTTATTCAAGATATAGCATGTTGTTGCAAAATAACTAATGTAAATTGGCACAGTGTGGCATGCAACTGAATATAAGAACTTCTCTCTTGCATCAGAGTGAGAGCCTGAATACACAGGAAAAAATGCAGAAATTATTATGACTTTGGGGTGAGCTGATTCACCCATTGATCTTTTTTCCCATTGATCACATGATGAAACTGGAAATGTGAATCAGCTTACACACCCCAATCTGTAGTTTTTTTCTCCCTGCCAGACTCTTCTACTTTTTTAAAATGTCAAATCCTTTCGTTTCAGTTCAATATGTGTGATTGTTTGAACCAGTGCAGAAGGAAAAAAACAACTGAGTGCACATGCATGCGCACAGCAGTGCTTTGCCAAAACACCCTTTGCCTCATGAAAGGAAGAGTAGATTGTGTGTGCATGCGTGCAGATATGAATGAACACAGCACCAGCACTCACCTCTTTCTGCAAAAACTCTCTTGCGAGACACATCTTTTATATATATTACAGCTTCTCCTGAGTGGTCAGAACTGTTTATTTAATTTTAAAAAAATCATTTAACAAGCTGATCTGAGGAAATAGAGTCATTGAGGCAGAAAATGCCTTGTTAAGGCAATTCTTTAGTTTTCTAATTGAGTGGCACCTTTTTTTCATTATAGGCCATTAAAGAAGATGAAGTCCAGTTATTGTATATTTATTAAAACAAAATATTACTCTTTGGTTTATTTTGAACAGAAAATAGACACCCTTTTAGAAGGTGTGAATCTGTGGTTTTCCAGGTGTGATTGGGTTGAAAAATTCCATCAGTCCTAGCCAGTCCAGCAAATGACATGGGATCATAAATTAATGATTTTAATCACTTTATAAATAAAAATAAAATGATTTATTTTAAAATTTTTTCAATCTTTAACTTACTAGGTTTTTAATTCTATTTTTTGTAATGTTGTGAGCTGCCTTGGGTTCCCTTATTGGGAGAAAAGCAGCTTATAAATAAAAACAAAGCTGCTTTTCTCCCAATAAGGGGACCCAAGGCGGCTCACAATATTAAAACCAGTAGAATTAAAAACATAATAAGTTAAACATTGAATAAATGATTAAGCTGTATGCTAATTAAAATACAATTGAATGATGTAAGCTGTAGCCCCCAAAACAATTGAATCAAGTAAGTTGTAGTCAGAAAAACAAGCCAACAAGGGCTTCTCCATCTTTGACCTGAGGCATAAGACCTTGAAGCAAATATTTCCTCACTAGATTTAGTTGAATCCCACTAAATGTTTTCATTATCACACCAACTTTCTTCATTATATCAATTTCACTTCTGAGTAAAATGCATTTACTATTCTCCCTTGGGAAAGGTTCAAGGGTAATTGTTGGTGTAATTTACTGTATTAGTGATTAAAGATATCTGGAGTACTGAAGAATGTCCTTGACTACTGAATATTCAAGGCTATACCTCAAGGCTGAATGCTCAAGGCCGAATACTTATCAAATTATCACAGAGCACTAGGATGCCTTATCTGGCACATTGTAAAAGATGCCTATTTCTGTGAGGCCATGGTTATAGCCTGAGGCTCAAACTGCAGGTGACATGGCAGGTCAGTACATTTCAACTTAATCTGCCCATCACACAGAAAGCAGAGTTGGTGAGAAAACAGCAAGTAGTCTTTCCTCACCTGCAGTTTATCTCATGTGAATACCAGACATAAACCCAGTTGGGAGAACAGTACATAGGAAATAGGGCTGAGTGGGATAAACAGCAGGCAAGAAGAATAGAGCCCAACCCTCCCATTTTGCAGGGCCTGTGGCTGCCTCAGGAAGCAAATGTTTGGGTTTAGTGAAAAGGCAGCAATTGTTGGTCATTTAATTATTTGTTGTTGAATTTTTACTGCCAAGGAGAGGAAGAGGTGGTTCTGGGATAGTCTGCTTCATGTGACAAAATAACTTGATCCTGCTGGGTGGAGCATAAATTTGAGGTCAGCAGATGATGTGCTCAGTCTTGCAGCTATCCACCACACACTTCCAGGTCACACAATCAGCTGCATGCCTGAGGTGATGACATGGAGCTGACAAAATGCAAAAGCCATTTGTGTGATTTCCCTCACACATGGCATTTCATGACAGGGTTTTGGCCTACATACCTTGATTTTAATAGGTGAGGAATGCCATTTGTTTCCCTGCAGTGAACAAGCAAATGATACCTTTCACTTATCTGATGGAGAGAGTCCTTTACCTCTCACCAGATCACAACCCCACATATCATTTGTCAAAGTGTGTGGTCTTTCACATCTTCACTGATGCGCTTGATTGCCTCTCCTCCCCCTCATCAATATTTCTTACCAATGTCAACATCTGTCTTTCCTTTTCAGTCTTCTCATATTCCCTGCTTCCAATTGCAATTTCTCATGCCCTCTTGTTCATTTGCTTGTTTGCCACGTCTGTTTTTGTTTCCACTTCTGTTGTCCCTCTTAACTTTTAACGTGAGCCAGCTCCTTCTTACATCTTTTATCTAGCACTATTGCTGCTTCTTCAGAAACACCGTTTCCACTTCTGTTTTCCCTCTTAACTTTTAAGGTGAGCCAGCTCCTTCTTCACTCACATCTTTTATGTAGCACTATTGCTGCTTCTTCAGAAACACCAGGGCAGGAGTCAGCAAGATGTCTTTTGAAGGAGCTACCCCTTGAGCCTGTTTCCAGCAGAATTTTATTGGCAACGTATTTTGATGACAGGCATGCTCTTCACAAGCACACAGTTGTGCTTTGTCCTGTCTTTAAGAAGCTTATCTCCTTTGCCTTTTAGAGACAAGTTTATTTGTGTGTCTACAAATCTTGCTGTTTGGTCAAATCTGTTGATAATCTTTCTTTTGTGCTTTGGTGTGTATGCCAGATTAGCAGGGTCCCTCATTCTGAGAGTCAGGGTTAAAACCTGAGATCAGAGGTGAATCTGTTCAAAAGCAGAGGGTTAGAACCTTGTGATGCCACAGATGTGGAATGCAATGGTAGTGGCACACAATGGTGGTGGCTTGTGGGACTGGAACTGTCTTTCTTGGCCAGCTAACTTAGGAAATCTGCGTAAAAGCTGCTTAACCATGTAGAATGACAACCCACAGGCATGATTTCTTTTCCTCAAGATGGCTGGATTGGTAGCAAAGTATACCCAGCAGCTGCAGTGGTTCCTGCCATACCAACTTGGACTTGCATCTTGTAGCACACATTTTGTGAGGAATTTTCCCAGGCCCTAAACTGCTCCCACAGCTTCTATAGCTAAGAGTCTCATGAGTTGCAATAGCAGTGCTCTGCAAGATTGGGTCCAAGTGCATGCATCGTCTTAAATCACTTCCCTTCATCCCTGGCTTTTTGGTATGTTGACATGGCACAAGTTCTACACACAAACACTTTTGCTGTGGCACCAGCTGGAAGAAGGCTCAAAGCTACATTACACATGAAATGTTTCCTGCTGCAATGCCTGTTGCCCAGAGCAGTGGTTCCCCACCTTTGGTCCCCACATATTCTTGGGCTAAAAGTCCCAGAAGCCAGGATTTCTTGGTTATAGTCCAAGAGCATCTGCGGACCTGAGGTTGGGAGGCTTGTATGCCCTCTTGGAGAGTTGGGAAAGCATGGCAGTTCTCTGAGATTTCAACTAGTGACCTACATCCTGTACTTCAGTGATGCCAGTTTATTTTCAGGCGAGTCTCTCAGTTATATGTGTATAATTGTGTACTGCAAGTCGGTTCCCCACCTTTGGTCCCCACATGTTCCTGGACTAAAAGTCCCAGAAGCCTTCACCACTAGTTGTGCTGGCCAAGATTTCTTGGAGTTATAGTCCAAGAGCATCTGTGGACCTGAGGCTGGGAGGCTTGTATGCCCTCTTGGAGAGTTGGGAAAGCATGGCAGTTCTCTGAGATTTCAACTAGTGACCTACGTCCTATACTTCAATGATGCTAGTTTATTTTCAGGCAAGTCTCTCAGTTATATGTGTATACTTGTGTACTGCAAGTGTGATTTACATTGTGGTAAGAGGTACAAACCCATATAAATTGTTGTTGAACATAAGAGTACTTCCCAACTCTGCATTATCATCTATGTCAACATTTCTAATTCTGGGCTGAAGACTGTCTAGTAGGAAATTAGATGTATATTTATCTGTTAACCAATAATTAAATAACTGGGTGATAATGGCTAGTGTAGGTACTCCAGAAGCTGAAAAATGAATAAGCTACAGTACTTGTTGGTGTAAATTAGCAGAGCTTTTGTCCCAGTCCAGGCAGTCCAATTGATTCACACAAAGGCAGCTTCTTCCAACAACAAAATGTATTTACAGTATATACAGCAGTACAAACCGGCAGCACAACATCCAAAGAAGAAATCCATACATCTTCTGTACGTTTCCATACATATATACACATACATATTTGCATACAGCCAATCATTGTGGACAGTGCATCATCCTGCATGATTCAGCATTCTGCACATCTGTGAAATATGGCTGCCAAAACACCATGACATCCAAAGAAGAGATCCATGCATCTTCTGTACATTTCCATACCTATATATACATACATATTTGCATATAGCCAGTCATTGTGGACATTGCATCATCCTGCATGACTCAGCATCTACACATCTGTGAAATATGGCTGCTGATTACCATTACTGGTGTTCTGTCTCAGGTTGGAAATTATCCTTGACACTACTGGAAATTATTCTTTCGTGAGCCGTGTCAAAAAGTCTTCATATTTTATTAGTTAATCTGAACAAAAGATCCTTGTAAACAGAATTTATTACAGGTTGGGTAAATACTGGCACACACTAGGATCAGCTCCATAAGATTACAAAATATGGCAAAGTTTTGTCTGGACTTCAGTGACAAGAGACAAACAAGGAGTTCGTTCTCAATATCAGCAAAGCTTCCCACCCAACTATGCGCTTTTGACACAAGCTTGTGGTTTTGGAGTATTCTCTAGGACATTCATTACATACTTTGTATGTTCACAGCATCTTTTTTTCTGTAAGAGGCCCACGAAATGGGGAAGAAAATATGGACAGTACGTTGAATTTTTCTAAAGAGGTGTTATATGGAATCTCCCTTCCCCCTATGCATGCTGATATTGGCTTTGTTATTAATCAGCTAATATATATTCATCAGAATACCATTTTTATTGCTTTTCTGCCCACCAGAAGAGCTCACAAAGCTATGTATAGTAAGACAGATTATGTAACATCACTGAAGCATGTAGCATCAATCAAAACATATAGTATATTAAAGCCTATAAAAATAAATCAATGACATTTAGCGAATGTAGGGCAATTTTAGCCTTAAACATATGAAGCTTGTGTGCCATATAGTGAACAATTGTGCAAAATAGTATTTTAATTATTTCTTACTTCTTTGACATTGCAACCAGTGATTTTACACCACCTGAATGTGACAGGCTGTGACTAATCTGGCTTCTGCACTGTCCTTTACACCTATTGTTTGCCATTTGTAATTTATTATGGGATTTACCTTGCTCTCAGAGCCATATAAGAGTGTGGGGGCAGTGTAAGATGTGTCTGGGCAGACTGGCTGACTTGCCTCACTTTAAGAATTGTGCAATTAAATGGCAGGAACAGCATCAAGACTGAGAGAAGATAGGCAGGGAAGTGGGGCAGGGAGTTCCAATGATTCTTCCTCCCATGTCATAGAACCAGGAAGTGGGAAAATCCTGGGAAATGCCTTGCAGAGATATAGTTGTGTGGTGAGATTTTGACTTGGCAAGGCAATTGGTGGCTCTCTGCCTTCCAGTCTACCTAAGCTCTCTAAAACCTCCGCTAAGAAGCATTTTTAGACCACTCCCAGAACCCAGGGGATTCTGGAAGTTGTAGGGTGAAGAAGTAACATTTCGTAGCTCTGCCTGGGACTGCCCAGTTGAAGCTTCCAAGAAGAGTCATTTCTATTTCTCTCTCTTGTGCCCAAATCGCTAGCTGTGATCCTGTTTGCTCTGGTATGTGTTTTTTCAGTGCAACAGATTAACATGCTTTTTAAAGTGGACTAACAACAATCTTATAAGTCAGTTAGAAGCTGTTTTGAAAACTGAACGCTAGAATGAATAATAATTTCAGCTATCTGACAAAAGCTCAAGAAGGAGAGATCTAGCCTGACTTCTTTTCAGAGAGATTTCCACAAGGGTACTGTTACAGAGAAAGGCCTTTTAATTTATTTATTGACAAATAAAAGCAAATAGGATAGTTTACTGCCGAAAATTATATTACATAAAATTCACAAGTATACACAACACAATCCTCCAACACTGCATTTAAGAAAATGCTGTTTTAAGTGCAGATATTTTGATATTCAACAATCCTGTAGTTGGATGCCTTAAAACAGAACCATTCTTGGCTCTACCAGTTTTCCATCCACTTCTAGAAATCCGTGTTGGTGTGGTACAAACTGTCTCATTGATTTAAATCAAATGCCTTGTTTCTCTGTAGACTTTGTTTAGAAGTGCACAAAATGCACATGATGCAAGGGGTTTCTGCAGAAAATGATGAAATAATTCTCTCTACAGCCAGCCTCCCAGGTTTGCAGATGGTCAAACATACACCTTTTCATCACACTGTTCTTGCGATTGAGTATTCCACTGAATACACAAGAGTAGTACATTCACAGTAGAATCCCATACACCTAGAAAGACGTTCATTAAGTTCACTGAGACTTATTTTCAGGCACGACAGTATATGATTGCAGCCCAACTGAACGGGACTGTCTCTTATTACAAAGCTGCTCAAACATGTCCTGAACTCAGATTTACAACAGCAAATGTTTTCCACACAAACTGTTTTAAGCAACATAAACATTTTTCCAAGTTCTGTCTAGAGAAATTCTTTGTCCTTTTTGGGAGCAAACTGAAAGATAATAGTTTTGTTCTTCATGTTCATAAAACTTTAAGTCTGTACTTGAAATCAACATCCGTTGTAGGTTGTAAAATGCCAAGTCCTGCTCGTGACTGGTCTAAAGATGGGCATTTCACATTCTTGTCAATGAGCTCTACTTCAAAATAGGAAAGCAACAATGTCAAAAATTGTTTGATTTCATGAACTGCAAACAATCGTCCGGGACATTTTGCAAGTCCTGTTCCAAATGGCATATAATAATATTTTAATTTCTGACCATTGCGATAGAAAATCCTCTTTTCTTCTCCATTTTCCTCAAGAAAACGATCATACTTGAATGCCTATAAAAAAAAGTAAAGCAAACAAAACTCACTTACTACTTTAAATGCAGCATCATTTAAGGCAACAGTAAAATTGTTTCATTATAGCAAAAGGAACAGAAAGAGGAATTTGTTTCCTGAATTTGTACAAAGTTCTTCAACAAACACCAGCACGCTATCGATCATACTGAATAGCTCTTTTTCAATAAAGACAAAATGTCATAATCAAATCAATACATTCAACTGAATAATAGCAGAAATGACAGCTTGGAAGTAATGGGTTACTACCTAATTTGGTTACCTATTTCCTCCTGCTGCCTTTTTTTTAATGAGCATATAACAATCACATTGCAAACAAAATATACTAAGCAGAAATGATATTTCCTTTGGGGACTCTGTAAAGAACAAAGTTTTCCTGTTATTTTAAAAGTTATTTTGAAATGACATTATAAGAATTTTATGTGGAATTGCTCTAGTATTACACCATTTTTTCAAGCTATCCAAAATCAAATGAATAATGTGACTGTCCAAATAGTAGTGTGGAATTGCTCTAGTATTACACCATCACCCTATCATTACTAAAGTTTTTTTCAAGCTATCCAAAAGCAAATGAATAATGTGACTGTCCAAATAGTAAACAAGACACAAATTAAACCTTGTTTTGTTCCAGAGTTACTAAAATATGAAGTAACATTTTTAACAGCGCATTTAAAATCTGAAGTCTCAAAAGTTTCAGTTGAAATGAGTGTTCTGTTAATTTATGGAATGTATTTAAAGGTAAACATGCTTCAGAGTGTTCAGTGTGACATTTCATGGAAAATTTATCTTCCCTCAGCTAGCCTGAGAACCAAAGCTAAGCTCTGAGGGAACAAGAAAGTTGGATGGGGGTGGGTGGGCAGCTGGTGGCATCATCATCCCTTCTAAGCAAAACACCCAGTTCTTTGATTTTGTAAACCAGTGTAGGCAACATCAGCAGGTCTGGGAGCTACTTTAAACCCACTGGACCCACTAAGAGGCCCAGCAAAGAGCAAAAACAACAAAAAACAAAGCAAAACAATATGAAACAAAACCAAAAAAAAAAACTTAAGAAATGGCTAGATGTCCACTTGCTGTTTTGAAGAATGAGGCTTGTTTTGGTAAAATCACATGGTGTAAAGTGGGTTCTGCAATATATGTATAAATCAGATTATCACTCCTGGAGGCTTCTGGAAGCAGCATTTCACAGTTATTTTCCTGGGGAAAAATGTGTCTGAGGAAAACCAGAGTCCAGAAAAACTGCTTCAAGTCCTCATTCATCTGTACCATTAGAAGCTGGCACAGAGATTTTAAAAAAGGATGGAGATGGATTTCATTTTTCTTTTCTCATGCAAGTGACACTTGGGGAAAAGCACAGGCATATCTGGACCAGGAATATTTCCCTGTATCACTTGATAAGGAAGCCGTAGATGATCATGTACGGTGAGGACATGCATGACAGAATACAGCCTTTGATGAGACAAGCATAGAAGGTAAACCACCTTCTTTCCCACTTCAATAGAAAGAAGGATGTCTCTGGTCCTCTTTAATCTTAGTTTTTAGAAGTGCTGCAGCTTGTTTGGTGTCCAACTTTTGGTGCTACTTCTTTTCTTATGGTGCCCAGAATACAGTACTAGATTAATCCCTTCCTACCTGAAAGCTCTCAGCTCTCCTCAGTGTTGGTATGCACAATGACAACAATGATGAAATATTTTATTGCAAGCAATAAACCACCTTCTGCCACGTGTGCAGTTTTTCCTGAAGCTGTATATCACTCACCAAAGGATCAGAATAGATTTCGGGATCAAAATGCAACAGCTGGGGATAAAGTGCTATGATGTCATCTTTGCGGATATTATAGGAGCCGCTCGTTAATTGCAAAACAAAATCTTCCTTGGCAACCCTGACTGTCATAGATGCACTGGAGAGCCTTAATGCTTCCTTGATAATGCTATCTGTGTAGGGAAAAAGAGAGAGAGAGAGAACATTTAACCTAGAAGCATCAAAAGATGTGCTGTTGTAGAGACTGCAAAATCAAAAGTAATGTGATGCAATGAAATAAGAGAAGGCCACTGGGGTCAAGAACAAAATCTTGTGGGTTTTATTTGCCTCTCTTAAAAATGTCTGCAGCTAGAAAGAAAGTGACTGGTGTAACATTAAATCATGTGACCATGACTCATAACAGTGTAGCCAATTTGTTCTAATTAATTATTCCTAAATCGTGACATTTCCATTGATATGGAGGAATTTTGTGTTAGTGCAATAAAGATCAAAACTAACATACCTAGTACTGGCATACCATCCAGCTGTTTTCGATTCAAAGAAATGTGTTTCCTATGTGAGCTGATTTTGATGCCTGCATTTTCTAACACCTTTTGAACCTCCTCAGTGGCTGCTTTCATTGCCTTTGGATTCCTAAAATTAAAAAGCATGCTGAAATTGTAACACAAATACTAGCCATCTAGTTCATACAGTGAGGATAAATAAAAGCATATATATTAGCATGAGACTAGAAGATATGCTTTGTGCTTAAAAATATTTATCTCAGATGGGGAAAGATGTCTGCTTATTATAGCACATGATTTTTCTCAACTCTGTCACTTGAATTTAGCATGCGTTTTATTATTCATTATTGGAAAGTAAATACGGGCTAAATCTTAAATCTGGTTGCTGAGCCTTACATTTTTGGAGAAACTCAGTTGTGGAGGGAAACAGGTTAATGTTTCCTCCAAATAATATACTCCTTCTAGTATCTAGTTTTGATCCTCAGTCTCTGCCTATAGCAGCATCCCATTATGTGTGAGGGAGTTTCAGGCAGACTTTGTTTTTGTATTAGATGGTTCTCAATCATGGGTCTCCAGGTGCTCTTGCACAAAAACTCCCAGAAGCCTTCACTACCAACTATGCTGGCCAGGATTTCTGGGCTATGTGGTCCAGAAAATCCATGGATCCAAGGTTGGAAACGACTGATCTAAATGGTCTCTACTTCTGCAGTTTGGCAGGTCTTACCAATCTTGGGTGTACAGTGGTGCCTCGCATAGCGATCACTCCGTATAGCGAAATCGCTTTGTGATGGACTTTTTGCCATCACAAGAGTGATCACTTTGCGATGGTCCCTATGGGGAAATACCTCGCAAAGCCTCCATTTTCAGCCAGCTGATCGGCAGTTTCAAAATGGCTGCTGGAAAAACAAAATGGCCACCTGCTGTTTTGCCTCGTTTTAGAGGCCCCGAAAATGGCCGCCCCTATGGAGGATCTTTGCTTTAAGGTTAGTTTTTAGCCCATAGGAACACATTAATCACGTTTTAATGCATTTCTATGGGCTTTTTAATATCGCTTAGCGATGAAATCACTTAGCAGCGATTTTTGCTGCATGGATTAACATTGCTAAGCAAGGCACCACTGTATTTGTAATCAAATCACCCCCCACCAACATCCCAGCACACAACACCTCTACCACCAACAAACTTTCTTTGCCCAGCCCTATATGTTATCTGAAGTGGATTAACATGAGTACTTAAGTTGCTCTGTCTTTGCTTGTAGAGGATTATATTCTAGGAGAAAGAGTATTTGAACATCAATAGAACCAAACTGATCTGCAGGACTAGATGCTTATTTGCATCTGAGGAGGAGAATATAATCTATACAATTTATAAGCAATGTTCAGGTTAAAAAAAACCATGTGCAATTAATCTTATAATGGTGCAGCCAATTGACTATAATTTCCATTAAAATTAATGTCCAACGAACATTTCTGACTCTTCTCTTAGAAGCTGAAAACATCAATTAATGTATATATGAGTATTGTTGCTATATATATTCCAAGAGTGCTTGTGTTTATTCAATAGACTAGATATATGCAAACATAAATAATGTAGCATTATTTTAAAAATCAGTAAGCTTACTGTGTACAACGAATGTTTTATGCTAAGTAGCCCTACCATTAGAAAGGCCTGTATGGAATACTGTAATTTCCTGCAGCTTTCTATAGGAATCATGCCTATCAGATTGTCAGCAAGTTCAAATAATTTTCCTGAACCAGTCCATGACAGGTCTATATACACAAACTTATATCTACAAATAATTTAAAGTTGCATCCATGCCAATAGTTAGCATTCTGGTCATCAATGGAGAGTTTAAAAGGGGAGATGACAAATTTTTATGTGAGGAACTTGTACAACCCTTCTGAATGTTGAAGATACCATTATTTCTGCACCTGATTGTATCAACAATCAGGAAGGCAACAGCCCACTTCTGTTTTTTATCCCCAGGAAGACATGAATCACATCTAAAAAAGGAGGTTCTATTTAACTATTTTGCTGAGCAATAGTGGATACATTTATGATAAAACTTTTTAAAAAATCATATTTAAACTGTAAAAGTCACTACTACAAAGGCTGGTAACTTGGAGAATTGTAAAATGGGACTAGACAGATTTACGATGGAGGGAGCCTCTCTGTCATGACTAGTCATGATAGCTACGATACAGTATATGATAGCTCGTATATGATCTGTCCTGCATTACAAACAGAAATATTAGCTATTGAAGAGCTCAAGTAATAGTGTAATGTTGCTTTAGATTTCCTATGTGTAGCTGGTTGGTCATTGGGCAAGCAGAATTCTGGAATAGATAGGGTTTGTGTTGCCTGCATGGCTTGTCCTATTTTTGCATGTCAGAAACGTGGGATAATACAGTTCGTGTTATTATCAAGTTATGATAACATGTTCACTGTGGTAATTATGGTTTCATAAATGGTAAACCAAAAGCAGAGTATCTACTCCCCAAAGTAATGACAATGGAATAACATAATATAGAAAAATAAACCATGTCTTCTGGTGGTATATTCAATATAGCTACTCACCTAATAAGATAGAATAAAGTCCAAAAGGTAGCAGGTATTGTATTAGCTTGTGATGCCCACAGGACTGCAAGATGGGTTCTTGCTTTCTCCTTATCATCAAACGTGGAGAGAGTGTCATTCAAAAACATGCGGAGAGAAATAAGTTCTGAAATATTGTCTCTTCTTTTAAGGTTCTCCTGGAGCAAGGCCTCAATCAAATTCTCTCGTGCTCTGTGGGCTCTTCTGAATAAGTAGATGGGTATACCTGCTACAAGGGCTGGAAAGATTTGGTCAAATTCTGTGAAATTCTTTAAGGCATTAAGAATATATGCTCTCTGGGTTTTTTGGCTAGAAGAAAGGATCTTGTGGTCTGCATTAACTTCTGTTCCAAATAAGGTTAAAAACCCAGATTCAAACATCACTTGACAGCAGAATTTATAAAGTTTGTCAGTGACCCAGTCACCATTGTCCATTTTCGATGTAATAGTCTCCACCATGACATAGTGCAAGTTTTCCATCATACCTTCAATGAGTAATGTTAAAGCATTACCCTGTAGAGTTCTAATGAAGGTCTGTTGCATATTCTCAGTGGTGTTTCCATCATTTGGATCAATACTGCCATGTCCAAATGCCTGTAACCAAATATAAGAAATTGTACCCCACCATTAACTTATTTATTTATCTATCCATCCATCGACCCACCCATCACCTACCCCTCCAGTCATCTCTTCTCTTCCATCTCATTGCAATATGTGAGAAGAAATTGTGTCTGGTTGTATTCAAACACAGCATCTTGCACCTCTTAGTTGTTTGAAGATAATTTCAGGCTTAAAAGCTGGGATATTTGTATACTGTCAATTGTATTCAGTGGTGCCATTTAACTAGCACAAAGGTACTGCTTGGGGAAATCCAAATTTCATACTTGTGAAAAATTCAAGTTGATTAATTACTTGGATTCTGGTTGAGTAAGCCATTCCTCGGGGCATTCTACAAATTGTTCCAGAAGTCATTGAGTAGTATCCAACTGAGCTTCTGCTAAGTGGAAATTAGCACCACCATAGTAACACAAGATCACGCAGATGCACAACGAATGTGATTCCACATTACTAGGCTGGTGAAACATGCCACTCAGTGAAGCACAACAGGGTCCTGTTGTGCTGATTTCTTGCACTGGTGGTTGCACAAGCAGTAGCCATCTCTTGCCCTTTTTCTGCTAATACAATGTTGGATATAACCCTACATCTCAGAGGTAGAACTAAAAAGTACCCATATGTAAACAGATTTTATTTATTTGTTTATTTATTTGTTTATTTATTTATTTATTTATTTATTTAACTTATATGCCGCTCACACTACCCAAAGGTCTCTGGACAGCTTACAACAATTAAAATACAATAAGAAGATAAAACAATTAAAATGCAATTAAAATATATACTCTAAAAATTGCCATCAGGACCCACCGTTGATATTACAATAGTGCCTCGCTAGACAGTTACCCCACATGACAGTTTTTTCACTAGACAGTGACATTTTGCAATTGCTATAGCGATTTGCAAAACAGTTATTCCTATGGGGGAATTTCACTGGATAATGTTTGGTCCCTGCTTCGCAAACCGTTTTTCGCTAGACGACGATTTTGACAGCTCCCTCCGCGCTCGCAAAATGGGTGTTTTCGGGACCTAAGCTTCACAAGACAGCGATTTAAACAGCTGATCGGCGGTTCGCAAAGCGGCTTTCCTATGGCCAATGTTCGCTAGACAAAAACGATTCTTCCTCAGTGGAATGCATTAAACAGGTTTCAATTCATTCCAATGCGGGAAAATGCTTTTCGCTAGAAAATGATTTCGCTAAACAGCGATTTCAGTGGAACGGATTATCATCATCTAGTGAGGCACCACTGTATTTCAATTAAAAGAATACTGTAGATGGTACTTAGGGTCCTGGCCTAAGTGCATGATAATGTACAAGAGAAACCAGAGGCAAATTATTTTCTGTATAATTCAAAACAGGAATACAACAAGAAAATGAACTGTTAAATATATAGCCTACTGAAAGATGCAGATAGATAAAGCATAATCACTTAGGACTTTTATTCATTAAAGCTAATAGGATTTCTTAATAAACTCTAACAGTGGTTGCAGTCAGGTCTGATTTTATCTAGGAATGAGAAAATGGTATTAAGTACTGAATTTGAAAGTAATCCTAAAGCATTTTTCCCAGATCACAGTCCATCATCTTAATCACTGTGTCTTTGGCAAAGGTTCTGTTTTAAAGAGAGGCAAAGGACAATGAAACCAATTAGTCTACTAACTTACTGCTGATGATACTAAGCCAAGCATTCCTAAGAGACAGATAAGATACTTGAGTTCTTCACAGCTGCAATGCAACTTTCACAGTAAGAAAGGGATAAAGCTTGAACACTAAAGCAGTAATCCAAGCATATTTACTTTGAAATAAATCCCACTGACAGCACAATAGTATTTATGCTTACTCAAATGTAAGTCTTACTAAATGGGAGAGCATGTATGCATAGGGTTGCAGCCCGAATCAAGTACACCTACACTTCTGAAGTAAATATAGTGAGACTAGTATTTTGTAAATAAAATAATTTGTATACATTTTTGTATCCTCATTAATGTGAAAGGATTTTGAATCACTGGCTAGAATCCTGCTGATACAAGTACAGTGGCAGAAACTGTAGTGGCAAATTGCTGTTAAATAATCAGTTGCCACTGGAATCCTTTTGCCACGCCTAGCCTTATACTACTGGTGCGCAACCAGGGGTTGTGATATGTGTGTGTTGTATGCCATTGTGTTGCTTCCAATTTATGGTGACTCTACTAGGGGTCTCAAAGCATGTGAGATGTTCAAGAAGTGGATTATTGTTGCCACTCCTCCCCACATGTAAGTTTCTATGGTCAAGCAGGGATTTGAACCAAGGTCTCCTCAATCCTAATTCAATGGTCTACCTACTACCCCCCCCCGGCTCTCAAGTTGCTATGTGTCATTACACAAGTTCTTTTGCTGCTGCTGTAAGCAACATGGTTTTATCATGAAAAAGGTGGCCTATCAATAAAATGGATCACGATGATAATAATGAGTGAAAATATTTTTTTAATAATTGCTACCTTTGAAGCAATTGTGAAGTTGAACTTTTTCCAGTCGAAATGTTTGTTTTGTTGCATCACAGCATTGTATGAAAAGGAATCTGTGAGGAAATGAACATATTTTCCAGCCAATCGACAAGTGAAAATGGAACCATATTTCTTTTGTCTTTCTATGAGGAATTGGAGAGGATTGGCCCCAAACTGTAGAGCACAACCGAGGTATGGTAGCAGCCCGTTCTCCAAAGGTGGCTCTCTTGGACGTCTGCAGAAAGCAATATATACACAGGGTAGATTAGGACTATAAATTAAGGTTTGACCTTCAGGTTTGCTGTGCAGGCATCTATTTCTAACTTAGAGCCTTTCCCTGATTGCTAGAAGGAACTGCCCTCCTCTGAGTAATAAATCCACTAAGGAGGCAGTAGATAACAAGCAAATAATGACTTTAGCACAATACCGAAGCTTGTTATAACCACAATAATGAGAATGTGTGGCACACACTGTAAATCAAACGCAATGAAATTTACTTTCCTTTTTAAACATATCACTTTCTCCCTTTTTTATACTTGGGTCCTATGGCTTATCCATTTTAAATAGAAATGATAATTCCTACCAAATATGTTTGCACCAGTACATTTCATGATGAAACGAATACCACGAATTATTGTTTGGGGATTTTGAGATTTATATATCAAATTGAGAGCAGCTGAATTAAACAATCCACTTCTGGGGGAGATGCAATGCCTGTTTTATTTAACTTTTGGCTGTTTCGTTTACTCTCCTAAACAGTGTGTCTGATATTGCTGATGTATGCAAGGTTCTATTCAGATCAGCCCCAATTTCAAAATGGAGATCTGTGGAAAAGCATCTTCTCCCATGTATAAACCAATGCAGATATGGACTACATCCACAATTATGATGCTCAGCTGAGATTCCTTGAATCGTCTGTTTGCATTATTAGGATGGCTAGATTCCTCCATCTAAAATTGTCCATTGCTATGTACCATAAATTGTCCATTTTGAAAGCTGGGCTGGAACACACATTCATGGTATTATTAATATGAATAAATTATGTTTTGCCTTGTTAGGAGACCTTCATATCCATCTCCAAGAATCTCAAATTTTTGCATTTACCTATAGCTTAAAAATATTGGAGTTACACATAAATGATGTTTTATGTTTGAACTGTTTTTCTAGAAATCCTAACATAGCAATAAGTTTAAGTATCCCTTGAACAAATGCTAAAAGCATACTTCATGTAAAACAGGATGATATCCTCTTCATTTGGATATCTGGAGCCAGTAACATTTCAGAGATACATTGCCTTATAACTTAGTAGACAATGTCAGTGGCTGACTGTAAAAATGGGATGTTTCAGGAGAAAAAAAATCTAAAGCAGAAAGATAATGTATGAGATGGAAGATATAGCCTACATTTCTCCTCCTCTTCATCATCATCATCATCATCATCACCACAGACTGTGGTTCAGTCTTCAAATGACATTTAAAAGATACTGGCTGAAATCCTTTTCCTTAGCAGGGATGTTGTCAAGTCTTCCAGTCGACGTCTCAAGTCTGAGTCCCACACCTTGAGTCTGAGTGTCGTGTCGGGGCACATGCGCAGATAGGGAAGGGAAGCAGGGCCGGTACATGCAGAGAGAGTGGGCCGTATTATTTACTTATACCTACCTTCCTCATAAGAGCTCAAAACCACTACTGTTTTATGAAATTAAATAATACAGTGACCCCAACTAAGTTTTGTTGCACATACAATACACTGGAAAGTGAATAATTATATGGATCAAATAATTAAATAATAGTTGTTAAGCATACCACTTTTTAATGAATGCAGGTATTTTCTTTTTAGAAGTTAAAATAATCTTAGATTCAGTAAACAGTGTATGAAAATAACTTTCCTTACCTCCTCCTTATTCCTAGAGCAAGCCACAAACTGAAGCACAGAATCATCAGCACTGTCCCCAGTGTCAAAAGTAATGCCATCATTTGAAACAAATATAAGGAAATGTCAAGTATGCAGCAGTAGTTTGTGTGAAAGCCTGAAACTGATTGAGAAGATGCCAAGGGACTTCTATTTATATTCACCTCTTGACTTCATTGAAGTGAAATTACTTACTATGTAAGCTATTAATTAACTATTTTTTGACAAAATTTCTGTAGCTGTAATTGGACCAAAATCATAGTAAAGAATTGTGTTGCCAACCTGAGGTGATGGCCTTGAGCTGATTATCACTTATCAGAAAAGGATTACAGCAATCAAGTAGCTTTAATAGCTGCCAACCTCATGTTTCTCTGATTTGATTTGATCTGACATGTAGGTGGACCAAGTACAGTTTATAGTTCAAGCTCACCGGTCTGTAAAGTGGCTCTCTGTTGACTCAGCATCTATCAAAGTTGCCAAGGTTTGTTTTCAGAAAGACTGGTGCAGTGCCAAGAAGAAGACATGGGTAAAATATGACCAGTGAAGGCTGATAATCACGTGAAGTACCTAGCATGAGGTACATGCCCTACATATAGTGAGACACACCAGATCCAAAACAGGCATAGCTGCCCAGGTTTTAACTTTGCAAATTGTCATGACGGGTGCAGTGGTTTGAACAGAGATGCAGAGCTGAGCAACCAGTGGTGACAACAGAGAAACACCAGACCCAAATATTACTGGAGAACTTGAAACCCCTGGTCAGAAAATCCTAGGACCCCTGAACCTGTGATTTCTGTGCCTGCCACCCATGCATCCATACTAACATTGGCAGCTCTTGAACTTAACTTCAGTACTGCTACTGTGCCCCCCCACCCCAGAGCTGATGTGCCAATGCCAGCAAGACATCTGGCATAAGGTCCTGGAGAGATGGTGGGGATGGATAGCAGAAAGGAAAGAGGGTGCATGCACGTGAGAGAGAAAATGTCTATGAAAGGAGGAATATTAAGGTGAGATTGTAGAAGGAATTTTTAACAAGAAGCAAAAGTAAAAAATGGAGCCATTACGCACACAGATGATGTTCCTTGAATCCCACAATACTGGCCAGTATCTAATATTCCATGCCTGAGCATTGGTCATGGTGTCTCAGCTCCAGGAGTTCCCAGATGAGCCAGATTATCTAGATTCATTTAATTCTGGCTTCAAACCTTGTTATGGGATGGAGACTACTTTGGTTACCTTGCTAGACAACCTACTCCAGGAACTGGATTGAGGGAGTGCATCCTTCTTGGTTCTGCTGGACCTTTCACCAGCTTTCAATACCGTCAACCATGGTATCCTTCTGGCCCATCTCTCTGGCATGGGACTTGGAAGGACTGTTTTGCAGTGGTTCCAGTCCTTACTGGAGAGAGAAGGTGGTGTTGGGGGGATTCCTGTTTGGCTGCTGGCCTGAGGGTCCCTCAGAGTTCTATGTCCTATATTATTTAATGTCTACATGAAACTGCTGGGAAAGTTTATCTGGAGTTTTGAAGTATGGTGTCAACAGTATGCAGATGACATCCAACTCTCCTTCCCATCTAAATCCAAAGAAGTTGTTTCAGCTCTAGGTCAGTGTCTGGTATCAGTAATGGACTAGATGAGGATGAATAACCTGAAACTTAATCCAGACAAGACAGATATGATCCTGGTCAGTCAAAAGGCAGATCACGAAATAGGGATGCAGCTTGTGCTGGATGGGATTGAAAAAAACAGTTGCGCAATGTGTAGGTTGTCAGAATATAGAAATTTTGTAGGCCTGAACCTGAATAAGTGTATTATTAACGAGCTGCCATTGTGCACACATGTGAGTATGCTGAGTCACTCTGAAGATGATGCAATGTCTGGAAATAAGAAGACACCAGGTGCAGAAGATGAAGTCATGTGTCTTCTGATTGGACTAGAGATGCCATGTACATGTATATAAGTGAACAGTGTCTATGTATCATTTTCTTCTCTCTCCACCATTTGCTGCAATCCACTATGTCTGTTTGTGTAAAGAGTTCCTGCCATGCTGATGTGATGCCTGCCTGTAAATACTTGTAAATACTGTAAATACAACCGTCTTGCAAAAGAAGAACTTGTAAGTATCTTCAATAATTCTGCGTTTTCCTGTCGCCATATCCTTGACATAGGTGCTCTTTGATGCATTTCTGAGCCTGGATGCCCAGATTTTGGCAGTAGCCAGGAGTGCATGTGCACAATTAAAACTAGTACGGCAGCTGTGCCTGTTCCTGGAGAGGTCTGATCTTCTCACCCTGACACATGCCTTAATTATATCCCAGCTGGATTACTATAATGCTCTCTATGTGGGGCTGTCTATGGAAAATGTCTGGAAACTTCAGCAGGTTCAAAATGCAGCAGCCAGATTGCTGATTGGGGCTGATTACAGGGATCTCATAACCCCCTTGTTACAGCAGCTCCACTGGCTGATGATCCGTTTCTCAGCACAATTCAAAGTGCTGGTTCTAACATAAAGAGCCTTAAGTGGCCTGGGTCCAAGCTATCCCGAAGACCATGTCTCCCATTATGAGACTGGTTGTATGTTAAGATCAGCAGGAGAGGCTTGTCTCTTGGTCCCTTCACAGCTATGTATGGCCTCCTCTGTTGCTGCTCCCAGACTTTGGGACGTCTTCCCACAGGAAGCAGACTGGCTCCATCTTTGCTGTCCTTCTGCAAGCTGGCAAATACCTTTCTCTTCAGACAAGTTTTCCTTCAGTGATTGGCTGCCTGCCTGAGATTTTTAAATGGATTGTTATACTTTATTGCTTTGAATGTGTTTTTAGTATGGCTTTTGTTTCTTCCTTCTAAGTATTTGTATACTTATTCTTTTTTAGCTTTAAATGTTGCCTTTTAATGATGCAAGCCACCTTTGTTTCCCAGTTGTTTTTAGCTTCAAGTATTGCATTTTAGGAGACAGGGGTGACTGCAATAACTACCGTGGCATCTCTCTTCATAGCGTTGTAGGGAAGCTGCTTGCTGAAGAGGCTCCAGGCGCTTGCAGACAGAGTCTATCCAGAATCACAGTGTAGATTCTGAGCTAATAGATCCACCACTGACATGGTATTCTCCCTCAGACAGTTGCAGGAGAAATGCAAGGAACAACAACAGCCACTCGTTGTGGCCTTCATAGATCTCACAAAGGCCTTTGATTTGGTTAGCAGGGATGGCCTTTTTAAAATACTTCCCAAGATTGGATATCCACCTCGTCTCCTTAACATCATCAGATCATTCCATGAGGGAATGAAAGGCACTGTAGTTTTTGATGGCTCAGCATCAGATCCCTTTGACATCCGAAGCGGAGTGAAACAGGGCTGTGTCCTATCCCACAATACTGGCCAGTATCTAATATTCCATGCCTGAGCATTGGTCATGGTGTCTCAGCTCCAGGAGTTCCCAGATGAGCCAGATTATCTAGATTCATTTAATTCTGGCTTCAAACCTTGTTATGGGATGGAGACTACTTTGGTTACCTTGGTGGACAACCTACTCCAGGAACTGGATTGACGGAGTGCGTCCTTCTTGGTTCTGCTGGACCTTTCACCAGCTTTCAATACCGTCAACCATGGTATCCTTCTGGCCCATCTCTCTGGCATGGGACTTGGAAGGACTGTTTTGCAGTGGTTCCAGTCCTTACTGGAGAGAGAAGGTGGTGTTGGGGGGATTCCTGTTTGGCTGCTGGCCTGAGGGTCCCTCAGAGTTCTATCTCCTATATTATTTAATGTCTACATGAAACTGCTGGGAAGGTTTATTTGGGGTTTTGAAGTATGGTGTCAACAGTATGCAGATGACATCCAACTCTCCTTGCCATCTAAATCCAAAGAAGTTGTTTCAGCTCTAGGTCAGTGTCTGGTATCAGTAATGGACTAGATGAAGATGAATAACCTGAAACTTCTGGAATTTCTAGCATGTATACATTACTGAAACAGCGATGTCTATGTTGGCTTGGGCATGTCGTGAGAATGGCTGATGGTTGGATTCCAAAGGATCTCCTGTATGGAGAATTAGTGCAGAGAAATCACCCTAGAGGGAGACCACAGCTGCGATACAAGGACATCTGCAAGTGGGATCTGAAGATGAATAACCTGAAACTTCTGGAATTTCTAGCATGTATACATTACTGAAACAGCGATGTCTATGTTGGCTTGGGCATGTCGTGAGAATGGCTGATGGTTGGATTCCAAAGGATCTCCTGTATGGAGAATTAGTGCAGAGAAATCACCCTAGAGGGAGACCACAGCTGCGATACAAGGACATCTGCAAGTGGGATCTGAAGGCCTTAGGAATGGGCCTCAACAGATGGGAAACCCTGACATCTGAGCATTCAGCTTGGAGGCAGGCGTTGCATCACGGCCTCTCCCAATTTGAAGAGACCCTTGTCCAGCAGGCAAAGAGGAAGTCACAAAAGCAGCAAAATCAGGGAGCTGGACAGGTGACAGATTGGATTTGTCTTCAGTGTGGAAGGGATTGCCACTCTCGAATCGGCCTCCTCAGCCACACTAGACGCTGTTCCAAGTCCTCCATACAGAGCACGTTACCATAGTCTTTCGAGACTGAAGGACGCCTAACTCCTGTATTTTAATCATGTAAGCTGCCTTGAATATTTTTTAAGGAGAAAGGCAAAGTACAAATATTTTAAATAAATAAATAATAAATATTCAAGCTGTAATTGAATAGGGTGATTAAATAGGGTGGCTATACATGTCCAGTCAAATTTTGTACTGATTCAACATGTCCAACTTACATAGAGCTCCCACTTCAGGGTGTCCAGATTTTCCAGGTTTCCAGATGGCATTGAGAATTCCACATTAATCAATTTCACACATGTATTCTCTATGGACATGTTAAACCTGAATGGCCATAGATTGCAATGTGCCCTCCACTCTCCCTGTTTCCACGTTCATGCAAAGTGGACTAAGTTGCTATGGCAGTTACTGTTGACCACCAAAATGTGTCTTGAAATCTCTCAATAGAGGAGGAATGTATTTAATCAGAATTTTCAAATGTAAAACAAAGACAAGTCAGGACAGTAAACCAATAAAGAAATAGTTACCAAAGGGAGAAATGCCTATGGGTACCTAATGTAAAACAGTTAACTTTAGTTACACCTTCTCTCTGCA